TAATAACGATATCATATTTATACACACGTGTGTGTTAGTTACTTTTTTTTTTTCTTATTTTTTCTAATAATCAACAATAATTAATCTTTTTAATACGTTTATCTGATTTAGAAGGAAACAATTTGTTGGCGTTGAAAAAAAAAAAAAGAAAGGATTGACGAAAAATTTGACTACAAAATCGAATTGTTAAATATTCAATAATAAAATGTAAACAATCACGTGTGTTCCCATGAAGAAACATCATCCTGTATACTAATTCAAAATTATATACGATTGAAGTTATACAAATTTTGGATTCTAATATATTTAAACAAATTTATTTGTTTCACTCGAGAGAAATAAATATTTTTGCATATATGTGTGTGTGTATGTATTGCTAAATTAAAAAAAAAAAACACTTAACTTATACAGTTAATTTCAAATCGATACACACATCATTAATTTAAAAATAAATAACAATAATTGTTTTTTTTTATTATTTAACTCGTATGTATATAGAACAATAACGCGTTTACAGTTAGAAAATATGCGTTTACAATTTGGCATAAAATATTTATTAAATATTGATTTTCGTATAAAATTTTAAACGTTTACATCCCCACAGAAGCGTAGTAAGAAAATTCTTTTCAACTGGTTATGGATAACTTTCGTTTATAATTCACTGATCCACGTAAACCCTCTTTTACATGTTATACTATACACAAGAATAAAGGTTGTAGGTGTTGTTCACCGTTATTATTCTCTTCTATATTATTATTTAAGTTTAAAGAGATAGATAAAAGAAAAAAAAAGAAAAAAGAGAAATGAACTAACGTATACCATTTGTTGTTTTGTTGTTGTTGTTGTCGTTGTTTAAATTATAAGCAAACCAAATAAATAAAAACAAAACAATAAAACACTATACTATATAAACTCATGGAATTTAATTAGAAATTATATCTCGAAGAATTCTTAAAGGAATACTTTTAATTAATTTACATTGAGATAACACATTCACATTGATTATATTTATACTGACGACAATAACCATAATAACAACAACAACCAGGCCGTAAAATTTCAAAATCATTCGTTAGATTATTTGAACATTTGTTTTCTTCGCGTTTACTTTAATCTAATGTTTTATTTTCTAATCAATTTATGACTAAACTTAACTTAATTATTTCATATTTATGCTATGCATCACACGATGACTCTCGTTATTCATCTTCTCGTATAAATTCTTACGTAATTCATGATATAGTTTGTTACTAACTATAACATGAATTATGGTTATGCATGAATACATTTGTAAACCTAACATATAACGAAACGTGTTCTATTTGTTGTGTTGTGTGTGTGTATATGTTTTGTTTTTTCTTTTGAAATAATATTTTATCTAAAATAAAATACATTGCTAATGTTTAAACTATTAAATTTATCCAATTCAATAATTTCAATTTTGATTGATTGTTATGTTTAGTGTAAAAAAAAAAAGAAACAGAAAATGATAAAAGTAACGTTGCATGTAAAATAAAATACAAGAAATATTTTCGAATGTCCTAGTTTGAATGTGATACGTGCTGGAATTCATCATATCTTGCTGTATATTTAAAAATAATGTGTATCGATTTGAAATTAACTGCATACACGTGCATATATATATATATATGTGTGTATGTGTGTGTTCCAACTGAGGTTTATAAACACGATATTCTTAGACGAATCAATAGTAAACGGTTCCTATTCATCGACTACACTCGTAAAATAGATAAATTGCATAAATATTTGTCTACTCGACGAGATAAATAATAATTTTAGATTTATTTAAACTGCACTTTTTAAATATATACGTATATCATTATATTTACTAAAATTTGATAAATAAATGAAAGAAAATTAATTGTAAATTTACATTGAGAACAGAAAAATAATTTTTTCAACAATAATTTGAATTATTTACTAATTAATTACTATTACTCATACATATTATTCATAATGATCATTAAATATCCCCATTAATGTATTACAAAATATTATACAAATTTATATTTAACGATTTTATTTTAATAATATAAAATAATGTCAATATATATATATCCTGTGAAATACACCCTTTTTCTAATAATTTTTTTTCTAAGTATACTGATTATTTTCCATTATCATAATTGCTAGCAAGTTTAATATAAAACAAACGAAAAATACGTACAGACACACATACACACAAACAAAGAGAAACACGTGTATTAATTTATTAAATGCGAATTTATTATTCACGCGATCTTTGTTTTACTATTCGTTATAATGAAAAATTAAAAGGGAAGAATAAAAAAAAGAAAAAAAAGAAAGATGTATCACAAATTGATAAATAAAAATAGTATATAGATCCGGTAATAATCGCATTGCCGAGTTATGAATCATGAATGTAACAAAAAAAGAAAAAATGATCACTTAAGAAACGACCTTACCAACATTTTAATCGATAAACGTATCGAAGATTCATGAATTATTCATCGGATTATTTTCTACTATATCATACTACTATTACTAATTACTTTTCAACGAAATACACCTAATTGTGGAATAATAATAATAATAATAAAAATAAATACACGCGAACGAATATAATAATAGAAAATAATTCAATAATAATCACAAATAAACTTAATATGTGGGATAAAACAAACAATATATTATGATTTTTGAACACGCATATAGAAGATTCATGAATTATTCATCGGATTATTTTCT